TAGTTGTAGTTTATATAATACTCTTGTGCTTATAGTTTATATAATACTCTTGAGCGAACGCGGTTCGGAACGTTGGTCGCGGGGCATTCGGTGGGACGTTGAGTGAACACGGTTCGGAACGTTGATCGCTCACTCGCAACGCGAACGCAGGAATATGCGGAAACAAACAGGGCGGTTCTGGTCGAATTTGAATTGTAAATTTGAATTTTTGTGCGGAAAAATATACTGTAAGAGCGGTTCTAGACTGAACCGGTCCTACAAATAGGTATTATAGGGGCGGCTGGTACTACAGCCGCCCCTATAAATCGATTTGTAGGGGCGACTGATAACACCAGTCGCCTCTACAAATCGATTTGTAGGGGTGATCTGGGAACCACCGCCCCTACAAATACATGATTTATAGAGACGGTTTGGTAGGAGCGGCTGGCCAAACCGCCTCTACAAATAGTCTTGAGCCGCCCCTACAAATAATATATGTAGTAGTGTCCATAGATAGCATTTGATCTTACTCATTGGTGATTGTAGTGAGTAGCGCAGAAGGGGAGGCAGGGAATTGCCTGAAGAAGACCACAAACGACTGCAGGCGTGCACAAAAGCACAAGTCAAAATGCATAAGATAACACTGTAATTAAACATATCGGAAGAACATCATGCATGCATGCATGCCTTCTTTTCAGCCGACGCCGGGGTCTGCAGAGCGAAGAGCAGCAGCACCCAGGCGAGGAGGAAGAAGACGGGGTTGGCTCCTCTCCCCATCGCGCTAGCTCGATCTGCTCTGCAACTGTGTACTCACTCTATTAGGTGCCGGTGGTATATTTATTTTATACATGCGCCAAGGTCAAATGCATCGCGTTCTCTCTCCGCGAGAAGCGCACGACCTCACTCCCATCTAAGGGCATGTACAATGCACATACAGCTGTTGTCTATAAGTTTTTGGAATTTACAATATTGATGGCTAAACAGACAGCTCATACAACCCATAGACAGTTGCTATCTATTTGGCTATCTACAAATCATTTAATGCTTGCATGCAGCCATGATCTATCATGAATATCATTTCTATGTACCATTGTGTGTACCATTGTATTGCTAATTGATACAAAATAAATCCTTCAAAGTAAATCATATATATTATATATATAAAGTAAATCACATCTTGACATGTTTAATTAGTTCACACCCAAAAGGTAAGAATCAAAATCAATTGAACACGTGCTGGTAACTGACAAAAGTGTGTTCAGTTATCAGTTTTCAGAAGCTGAATAGAAACATTCAGTTTCCATGGACTTGCCGCCTGCCAAGCTCACCTCCGCCATGATGACCCTGCTCGCGCTGGACGTGCTTGCCTATCGGGATGTGCCCTGCTCGCTCTACCCCGCCGCGCAGCCTAGCTCTTCCTCGCCGGCTTAGCCCAACTCTTCCTCGCCGGTGCGGCCATGGTCCGCCATGCCCTCGTCCTCGCCGTGCGGCTCTGCTCTGCCCGCCCCGTCCCGGTGCCGGTGCCTGCTGCTTCCCCCCACGCTGCCCGTGTGCTGGCGCCGCCGCCTGCTGCACAGCGGCGCCCCTCGTAGCGTGCGCGGTGAGATGAAGAAGGAAGAAGAAGACGGCTTCGATTTTTGGCGCGATTCTTTCACCTCGCGGCTACAGCTGGATCCGCACGGCGTCGACTCAAGGTGACGGCTCCGTACAACGCGAATCATGCCGTCGAGTCCGCCTGGGAGCACGAGCCCTCGCTGTCGTCTCATGACGCGACGGTTTTGTTCTCTGTCTAGCGAACTAGGGGGGATTTTGCAAAATTACTGCTCGGAGACAACGGCCAGCAAGCCCGTGCCCTAAGCATACCGCTGTCGCTCCTTGAACTCGACGCATGCCACAACGTGCATGCAGTTAATAATACAATCTCCGAGGAGGATCTGGCAAAGGCGTTGAAGAACTCTCCTCGAGAATCTCGCTGATTTCTGTGAGTTTAAGCTGCTGATTGTTATGTGCATTTTCTAATGTCAAAGTTGTGGTAAATATTATTGGTCTTCATTAACGATGTGGCTTTATAGAGGCCGCATGACCACCGTCTCTAGCAAATGGTCTCTCCCAATGGATGTGTGCATGCGTTTTTTATGTTTCGAAAAGGTCCCATATTTAAGATCAAGTATAGCATGCTATTGTTTTGTGTTAACTTTTACGAATCTCTTATCGAATATCTGAAAGTCCCCACGTATGGGCGGATCCAAGGGTATTCCCTGGTATTCCCAGAAATACCCAACTTTTTTGAGATACTTTTATGTATATATGTGTATATACTTGTGTATATATATGTATATTGCAATATTATGTACTGTTTTCACTCATTGCAGCCCGAATCAGTAAAAAACACGGCCTTTCAGCCTTGCCTCCAAACTTCCACCTTCCCAGGACGGCCCACTAGGCCCACTCAGGCACTCCACCCCTTCCTTCCTAGCCTCTTACCCACCCCGAGCCCCCGACACCCCCTCGGCCCTCGGCCTCTGCTCGCACGGACACGGGACACCTGACAGACGGGGCCGATGGACGCCTTGGCGAGGAGGCGGGCTCATGCGGCCGGCGAGCGCGACTTATGTGGCAGCCAAAAGTCGCAAGGGCGCAAAAGGTAGCAAAAGCCATGGCGGGGGCTGGCCAGGCCAGCAGGGGCCAGGCGGGGGGCGCAGGGGCTGGTTGGGGCCAGCGCGGCAGTGCCCAACCCGGGCACCATCGGCCAGTGCCTGTGTCCTAGGATGGCAGGACTCTAGGTTTGTGATCAGTTTTTACTTCTAACAAAAATCATGGCAATGCTAATATAACCTTATGCAGTGCAACATATAGGTCCAAGTTATTAAGAACACTTACTTATATTTGGTCTTCCCGTAAGCTTTCTTATGAATGCAGTTGTTAGTGTTATAGTTCCATGCATTCTCCATATGACACGAGGGAGGTAAAGTAATGTCTATTTTATTTAATTGCTTGAGTAGACAATCTGTTTCTGTGATGTGATAAAACTACTATAAATTAGTATATTTAAAGCCTAAGCTACCATATATTGGATTTTTTTCGCACATGAAATACCCAACTTCAGAATCTCGCTCCGCCACTGTCCCCACGACAATGTGACCGGAGGTCGTATTCCGCTGTGGCACTCGACCTCCTGCTACGACACTGGGCATCATCAACGTCCCTTGACGGTCATTCGGACACATTGTCGGGCTTCATCGCTCGATCAAACTGTTGCCGACCACGTCACCATCATTGACAACAATGTCACCTCAACACCTCGTCAAATCAGCTAAGTCACTTTCATAGCCGTTTTCTTTATATTACATTCTCTCTCCTGATTTCTCTTACTTTTCACTAAGGCCCCGTTTAGATCCCACCCAAAATCCAAAATTTTTCAAGATTTCTCGTCACATCAAATTCTTGCGCAGAATTGGCGAGATTCTTTTAAGTCTAAATAGTCCATAATTGGATATTTTTTGTCAAATACAAACGAAAGTGCTATAGTAGCCAAAAGCTAAAAATTTTCGCATCTAAACGGGGCCTAAGTTGGCACCCATCTTAGCAGAAAAATCAGGAGCCACACCTAATAGGCAGACTCGGATAGTCAGGTGCATGTGTGCTCTTCTCTCAGTAGCCCACCATGAGACTCGACGTTTCATCATAGCACATGACAGCTTGCCATGATACTCATCATCCCGTAGCATCTCCCCTCCCATGGCGTGATTAGGTGTCCCACGTTTCGCAACAGGTGGGATGAAAAGCACAAGGAAGACAAGCAATTGTGGAAATCAAAGAGCAGGGTGCTATGCAATGCCCCTTCACCCACTTAATCCCTCCGTCCTAAAAAGGGTGTAGTTATGGGGTATCATGTTGGTCAAAACTTTTTATGCTTTGACTAGGTTTATAAAAAACATTAGTAACATTTGTATCTTTTAATAAGTTTATTATATATTCAGCAATTCATCTAACAATGCTAAGGGCATGCTTGGATCCTCTCCTCTAGAATTTAGAGCACTTTAGCTCAGTTTTGAGCTCTAAAGCTCTAATGTGAGATGGAGCTAAAGTTTAGAACTAACTTTAGACCATCTGTTTAGAGACATTAGCTATAAAGTTTAGAAGTCTAAAGTTTAGAGGGATGCATCTCAATAGACCCTAATTATGCATCATAAATGTTAATATTATGTATATATATTTGGTAAAAGTTGATGATGTTTGACTTAACAGTCGTCAGAAAGTGCTAATGACACTCACTGAGTGAGAGACACAACGGAAACAGGTACGTACGCAGGCCCATTGATGGGAGGGGGTCCTCCGGCTTCAGAGGGGCGCTGTGGTATGGGGCGGCGGCCTCTCGTGTGGAGAAACGACAGAGGTTGACTGAACGAGAGACTGAGAGATGTTTGGGCCTGGAAGGGGAAAAGGCTCGAAAAGCTCCTCCCTTCGGGCTTCGTGGAAAAGCCCATCCCTTGTCCATGTGAAAAAAAGGCCCTAAGAAGCCATGCGTTTGGCCCACCAGAAAACAGCCCAACAAGATGTTCCAAAGATGGCCCATGTCGGGTCTAGAGGCACCCGCAGCCCTGGTGCAGTCGATCATAGCCCAAGTCAACTTATTTCCATCTTCTACCTTTTTTTTTCATTTTCCTTTTTTTTTTTTGAGATTTTCTTTTTCATTTTTCCTGACAGCACGAGCCAAGCTAACACAACCAACGTACACCGTACATAGTTACATACACGTCCTAATTAATCATGCTCAACAACAAGAAATTACTACTAGCAGTAGAGTAGCCGTACCTCTTTCTGCTTCGTCTTCTCCGAGGACCCCTCGATCGTCTCCTACCCATAAGTAGCATCCTAGCACTGCACTTCCCTACGAGCTAGTACGCTGCTGCGATATATAGATAGTACGTCACCATGGAAGTACACACCAGCAAAGTTCTTGTTTCTTGCAAGCCTACACCACTCCAGTACTGAAGAAGACACTCGATCTCCCCTACTTGTCACGTCAACATCTCCTGCGGCGCTTCGCCGGCGGCTGTCCAGCGGCGGTGGCGTAGCACCGGAAAGGGTTTCTCCGGGGACGAGATGTCCGGCACGAACACGGCAGCCGTGTCCGTGTCCGTGTCCGTAGATGTGGTCGCGCCGTGGCGCGGGCCGCCCTGCCAGTGGAGCCCCGAGGCCGTGGGCGGGGAGGGGAGCTCCGGCACGGACCACTGGTGGAACTCTGGCACCTCCCCGAAGAAGTCTTGGGACGCGTCGGACGACGATCGGCCGGCCGGCGAGCCGACGGTGCTCCCGAGCTTCCCGCTGTCGGCCTGCCAATGGATGACGGAGCACTGAGGACTAGCAACAACAGGTGTATGTCTGCGTCTGTCAGACGGTCGAATTTGGCAGTGAACAGAGTTTGCTCTGTAATCAGAATTCAGAAATATGTTCGAATTTGGGCAGTTGTCTAAATTTCAGGAAGCATAACAAGATAATATACGTATACAAAGAAACTAAAACTAAAAGTCTAAAACTATGCTAGAAATGAACAAGATAAACAAAATTTGCTAAGGAAATTACGTGGCAAGCAAACTATGCAGAAAAAATGAAACAAATTTACGTGTTTCCTTCCATTCATTCATTCAGTGGCCATAGCTGAGAATTGAAAATTGAGTACTGACCTTGGACGTGCCATTGTCAGCGAAGCCGAGACCAGCGCTGTACTCTGAGAAACCCAAGAACTCGTCGAGCGGCCAGTCCGGCAAACCCCCGGCGAGGCCGCCGCCACCCTGGACGGTGAACGAGGCGGCGAGCGACCGCCGGGGGCTGCGCTTGGAAGCGGGCGTTCTAGCGAGCACCGGCTCCACGGGCCTGGGCACCGGCGGGGCGCCGAACTGCTCGTGGACGAGCGCCCAGTCCGGCAGGCCGACGGCGACGCTGACGCTGACGCCGGCGCCGGCGTCCGTGCCGGCCGCCCAGTCGATGTCGTCGACGCTGTAGAGCGGCTCCGGGCTGCTGCCGCCGGCCGCCGCCTTCCTGTCGGGCGGCGGGGGAGTTTGGAGGGGATCCGCTGCCGCGGCAGCGCTGGTGGGCGGGTGCGGATCAGCGTCCGGGGCGGCGGCGGCGGGCTGCAGGCCGACCTGGACGCCGGTGAGGAGGAACCTGCGGTGCGCGGAAACGAAGGCGTTGGCGGTGTGCACGGCCACGTCGCAGGCCCGGCAGAGCAGCGCGCGGTCCTCCACGCAGAAGAAGTAGGCGTGGGCCTCCTGGAGAGCCGGCGGCAGGGGAAGCCGTCAGCTAGAATTCCCGGTGGGCAGGGCAGGGCAGGCAGCAAAATATCCTTTTTTTTTTTTGGTACCACATGTACGTTACTATACGTACCTGACATATGTCGCAGTTGGGCGCGGAGACGTCGGCGGGCGGGATGAGCGGCAGGCGGTGGTGCTTGCCAGCGAGGCGGTTGGCGGCGTGGACGTCGCGGTCGCAGCGCGCGCAGAGGGCGGCCTCGTCGGCGTAGCAGAGCAGGCACGCCTCGGCCGCCTCGCAGGCGGAGCAGAGCACCTTCATGGACCTGCTGTGACCATGCACCGATTGAACTCGCAGCAGGGGAGGCGATTGGGCTCTGCGGAGTCGTGGATTAGCTCAGCTTAGCTGCTGGGAAGAGGGAGAGAAGGAGAGTGGAAGGGAAGCTTAGCGGCCTAGCGGCGGGCGGTTTTGTCGGGTGGATGATGGATCCCCGGATGCGGCCGTCAGCGTCACGCACGCGGGGACGGTTGGGAGGGGAGGTGCGGCGGAGGGCGGAGGCGGGAGATATTATCGCGGGGGATGGATGGGCGGGAAGGGAGGCGTACGAACGAACGCGACGGCCGGCGGTAGATCGGGGAGGGGACTGAGCTGACCGGTCGGTGGAGGCGACGACGTCGCGCCCTCCCATTCGCCAGGTACTGGTTTGACTCGATCTGTGGCGGTAACTGAACTGGGGCCTGCCTGCTGGTCGGCATGCGGCGTGCCGGCGGCATGGACATCCACGTCGGCAGATCTTTTAAACGCCGCCGGCTGGAGGACTCGAGGCCGCGATTCCATCCGAAAAACTACAAAAAATAGCTTTCGAACCGCTGATACTGGAAATGTTTATACATACACATGTATGTAACAGTAATAGAGTATTTTTCAATTTCCACTAATCGCGTGCTATTTTTCTCTCTAAATACGACACAGACGCTCACATGCCTCGTTTAGTCCTTGATATGGATGTTCACATTTTATGCTTATATTACAATTTAATTAACGTCTTTTTTCAATATAAATACTCTCTCCGTACTCGTATTAGAGGTTGTTTATGACATGATTGTGCGTACCAAGGAGTGATTAGTTAGGGGGTATTTTTTCCTGTCTGCCCCTATTAAATAGGGCTACGGGTGCATTCTACTCCCTCTGTACTCGTATTAGAGGTCGAGCCGCTCGTTTTCGCAAAGGAAGTCGCCCAGGCTGCATGGGGCACCAGATGAACGCGTAAGCCCTTGACGCTTCGTTCCCGCACGCCCGCCGCCAGCATGGCTCGACAATGAATTAATCACGGCTCTTCGTTTTGTGCACGCTCGCTCGTGTCAAGGCTCTTCATCACGCGCACGCTCGCCTCCCGCAGCACGCGCTCGCCGCTAGTTCGTCTCCCGCAGCACACGCTCGCCGCCGGCGCCATGAAGCTCGCTCGCACCATGGAGGAGGCGCTGGACTCCGTCGAGATGCTGGACACCGTCGAGCAGGTGCTGGACAACGTTGAGGTGATGGACTCCGTCGAGCAGACGCTGGACAACGTCGAGGCGCTGGACACCGTCGACGTCGTGCTAGACTTCGTCAAGATGGTGCCCGACTCCGTCGAGTCCCTGTGTCCTTGCTGCGGCACGTTCCACGCTGGCGGCGTCTTCGGAGAAGCCTGCTTCCAAGCTCGCCGCCACACTCGCAGGTGTGCGCGTTGTGGCCTTTTACATGAAGACTACGATCTGCCAACAAGGTGGTTGCATGGCATGGAAAAGTTTGATTGTGAGTTCTATGTTACTGATGTGGAGAAACTTCAAATGGATGGTGACACAATACTGTTACTTGACGACGTTATCAAGAAGTTGGACGAGATCTACAATATGAAGAAGTTGGAAGATGCAAAGATGAAGCAAGATGCAAAAGAACAGTAAGGTACATGTCCCATTCTGTGGACTTAACATGCATGCAAAAACTAATTTGCTACTAATAGTACTCTTGCTTTGGCTAGCATGCTGCAAAGACTAACATGCTTGCATCTCTTCTTCTAATTTGCTGCAGGAAGGCTAGCAATGGCTTCGGCTAGCAATGAAACTTCACAAGAGATTTGCAATGGCAGCCTATCTTCTCTCTCTAGTTTTTCTTTTTGCATGTGAGGAATCTTCAACTTGTTGCATCCTTTAATCTTCATGGCTTCCTTCAAAACAGTTTGAAGTGTTACAAAAATCTTGTTTGCTTTCCATGGAGAGTACTCTAGGAATGCCTAAAAAATGTGTTGAAGAAATCAATCAACTAGTTGTTCAAGAAACAATGAAACAAGTGCATTATCTTGTTGTACAAAACAATTGATCATTACCTATTGGACTGCTGGAACTAGATCGTTTATTGTTTTTGCATCCTTCTTGTATTGAATATCTTGAATAGCTCGAAAAAACCCCAAGTCTAGAATGTTAAAATCCAGAGAATTGGGTGGTTGACAAATGAGGCAAATGTCAAACCCTTCTTGCTTAGCGGCCTCACAAAAAATAGGATCCTCCAATTTCAAATAGGAAGGTCCATTGTCTTGTTGTATGAAAATTGGCTTGTTGACATCTTCTCTTGGCCATTTGGCTCGAATGGCAGGCAACACTTTGTTTACCATGAAATCTCTAATCACCTCTCTTGTGATTGAAGTAATTGGCTTGATTACTAGTTCTCCACGAAGGCGATTTTGACTCCTTCTAATAGCATGTTCATAAGTGATAAGTGGAAAACAATCTATTTTTCCATCAAAAACACACTCTCCATTCCTAAACCTTGGCCGAGCAACAACACACAAGAACATGAGCCTAGGGATGTAATTCTTGTTTTTACAAGTTCGATGTGGTTTATCTTCCTCGGGTAGCAAATAATATTTCTCAGATTTTTGAGAGAGGTAGAACCATTTTCATCAATGTACACAAAGTCAAAAAAAATCCTTAAATCTAGGATCATCAACCAAACCCTGCTCAATCATGTCAACACACCACTTCAACCTAGTCTTCTTGTTAGCATCTGTGAGGTATGGTTTAATGCTACTAGAGTGACGCCTAAGCAAACTTTTTTTTCAAATACCTTTGTATCCTAGCTTTGCTCATACCAAGTTTAATAGACACATCTTCTATGGTCATTCTTTACTTGAGAGAAATGTTGCGTAGTAGTTACAAATCAAGAGGGACTACCTTGCGGCCACATCTACCCTTCTTTTTACTTGCAACCACAACCGAAATGTTTTGAGCAAGTTGGTGAATACCTCGCTTCCATAGTCGCTGAACTGACCGAATGTGCAGTCCAAATTAGTCAGCAACAATTCTTGTATCCTTCTTGGCTAGTTTTCCATTCTTGCTTCTAGCCAACAATGCTTGATAAACTTGTTTTCTAACGTCTTCTGTCATTTTTTTTCTTCGATGGTTTGCTTCAATGGGAGCAGCATGTTCTAGTAAAAGAAAAAAAAAGAATCACTTGTTAGCCACAGCTTACATTAAAAATAATCAAAAAATTAAAAGAACAAATGGAGAAGAAATTACCAACCACTGCACCAAATTCATCTAGCGACTGGTTCAAATCAAATCCTATCAAAAATAAGAAGCAATGATATGAGAAACGATTGAGAGAAAGAGATAGCACAGTACATGCACAATAGAAAAAGTAATATCGTCGCCATGCTCCAACGGAGGGTCGTTGAGATCAAATGCAACGTCGTCGTCGTCAGCGTCGCCGTATGGCCAGCTCATTTGAGTAGTACCGTACCTAAAAAAGCTATTTTTTTACTAGTGTACTAATTATTACTCCTATTAGGATTGACTAGTACAGTACTTCCACCGTTCTCTTTTATAAAGTGCGCACACAACTCAAGAGTTTTAAAACTTTTTATCCATAATTTAACTAACAGTTTTAATTATTATACTATAAAACTTGATATTGTTACATTGGTTATTAATAAATGTATTACCCGATTATCATAAATTTATAAATATAAATAATATAATATAAATAAATGGTTAAAATGTAGTTTATGAGACCTTGTCATGTCCATCTACGCCTTATAAAAGAGAGTCACTACTGGAAACTCGAATTATCCTGTGGGTGACGAATTTTTCTGTGCGTTTTTTTCAGTACGCACAGAAAAATTACGATTATTCTGTCGGTTCCAAAATATCCCAACAGAAAAATACGAAAACCCACAGAATAATTGTATGATTTTTCTGTGCGTGACAATACACACACGAAAAAATCAGCACTCACAGAAAAATTCAATTTATTCTGTCGGTTCTTTAAAAATGCAAAGAAAAAATATATGCACGCACAGAAAAATATATGCACGCATAGGATAAATAAAAAAACAAAGAAGTCCTAACCCTAACCCGCCGGCCGTCGCCCCCAAACACTCTCTCACGAACGCACTCGCGGACTCGCCTACTCGGCCCTCCTCTCCCTGCCCCCGCTCCCTCTCACTGCCTTCCGCCGGCGCCTAGCCCCGGACCCTACCCTCCTTGCCCCGCGCCGCCTCGGATCCGCCGCCTCCTCTCCTCCCACCGCCGGCCGTCGGCCTCGGCCCCTCCCCTCCTTGCCCCGCGTCGCCCCAGATCCGCCCCCGCCGACCCCTCCCCTCCTTGCCCCTCCTTGACCGCCTCCCCCCCCGGATCTGCCACCTCCCCTCCTCCGCCCCTCCTCCCTCCCTCCCTCCCGGCCCGGCTGCCCTCCCCCTCCCTCCTTGCCCTCAAGCCGCCCGGATCCGCCCACGGTGGCTGTCCCCATCCAGGCGTAGCGCGGCTGGGCTCCACCGGTGGCCGGCGCCGTGCCTGCTCATCGGTGCTGCCTCCTCCCACCGGTCCGCGTCGGTTCTTGTGCTCCAAGAAACCCTAGCTCCTGTGCTCCAGGACCCCGGCTCCCTCTCTCCAGATTTGGCGGTGCATCGGGAGGGCATACTGCTGGTCCTCGTCCTAGAGGGCCTGGACTGTGCAGCGGCGTTCCACGAAACCCTAGCCCGTCGCTTTCGCCCAAGTGCGATCTTCGTTGTTTCCTCTTGCAGGCGTCCGGTGGGGTTGCACGCTAGAACGGCGCTGGTGGCCCAGTCTATTATCAAAATGGGCTCTTTGATAAAACCTTGCAGTGTTTAGCAGCTCCATGTAGTGCCGCTTGTTGTTAGATTTTGGAAGAACTAATTTATGGATACTTTTCCTAATGTGTCTCTAGAATTGCATATAAGCAATGATTTAGTCCAATATTGATGGAATATTTTGTGAGTTTTCATTTCCATTTAGGTAGATATAGCAATTTAAGATGCTCTTTGATGTGGGTTATGATTATCTTTTTTAAGATCTAATTAAATCTTTTCCTCTAATTAAATCAGTTTGTTAGCTCGCTTCATGGAGATATTATATGTTCAGCGGCCAATTTCAATTTGACGGTTTGCCTTGTTCCAGATAGTTCACTGATTGTGTTAGTGGACTCCCAAAAGATCTGCTCTACACTTTAGTAACCTACCCTGATCTTATTAGTTAGTTGTTTCTCTACGAGTGCTAGCTTCGCAGCCTATATTCTTAGATTGCAATTTTATTTTCAGTTCTCGCTATTCACAAATTGCCTACCTAGTTTACCAATGTACGTGCTTACCGATTTAAAACAAATATTTGTAAGCACATATGAATGGCAAGGAACATAACAAAAAACAAATATTTGTAAGCACACATGAATTGCCTACCTGGTTTCCTACTTAGAGTTCTTCCTTGGCAGCTTGTACGATAAATAGTTTCGCTGTGTAAATAGCTATTTCTGTTACCTCATTGATCTGCTTCCATATAGGTTATTATTTTCATGCTCTACTAGTTCAGTGGAAAACTGTTTTCAATCCTAGTAGTTATTCAGTCCAAATAATAAGCTACATGGCAGGATTGTATCCCATAGACTCCTGGTATTATCAAAGCTTCTATGTGCTCAAAACATATGTCCATAAATGATGAAATTTCTTCTGTTAGACACTAGAGCAGCTGGTATACATTACAAAGGAAGTAGCGATCCATCCATTTTGCATACTCATCATAGCAGGTCAAATAGATCAATATCTATTGGAAATCTGGTATAACTTGTTTGTTCCTGGTTCCATGACCTTACTGACTGATGGTTAGATAGGGTCTGTGTAAGGTTGTAAGCTTTGGGATTGGCAGATGCATGTAATCTTTGGCAAGTGATCCTTTGTTGTGTTTGTTAAACTATGTGATTTTGCCACAAAAAAAAAGAAAAAAAATTGTTTCATGGTTTGTGTGTGGAATCACATGAATGCATTCATCTCTTTGAGCATATTGTTGGACATATTTGATTATCTATTTACCACTATTGTCTATTAGAGCACATGCTCTTGATCATATAAAATTAAAAGTAGTTATTTGCCTTTTGTTTTGGTGTTGGCAACTTAGTTTGTTAGCTACTAGCTTTTCGAAGAAATCAAACAACTTTGAACGATCAATTGTACTCCCTCTATCCCTGAAGTAATCAATTTCTAGCCCAAAATTTTGTGTCCAAAAGAATTGATTTCTAGATGCAGACGGTCCACAGATCCACATTAATCTCTCTCATAGTCTGGGTTGCATTTAACATAACCTCTCTCTACTACGCTGCTATTGGATACTCCAAACGACACTACTTAATTAGGCTTCTCGGTAAAGAGTTAATGTTCAACAGTTTAATGAGGGGACAACATGGTCTTTTCTCTTCGTTGTTAATCTGTCCTATAGTTGTTAGGAATTCATTTTTTCAAGGACAGATGGAGTATATAAATACTCATATTTATGATATTGCATAATAAGTATCGTTACATGAACCATGAAATACATTTTCGTATTTAAATCAATTATTTTCTATAAAATTCATTAAACTTATGAAAAAATAGACTTGGTTTAAATATAGAATTCACTAT